GCGAGAGCTACGAGAGCGGACAACACCACCAATTTGAACATTTTGCAGAAATAGGTCTGTGTTGCGAGTCTTGAGACTAACTGACAAAAACTGATGTCGATTGCTTGTTAATTCATAGTATATATACTTAAAAATTGCGGATGTAATTGTAGTCATTCCTTTCTGTTTGAATTTTTTCGTAGACCTTCACTCAAGGTAAAAATCTAGTGCAACATTTGGTATATTTCTCGTTGAGGTTATAATTTAAAAGGGTATAATTTAAAAAACATATCAAATCAATTTGTAATTAAATTAATTTAGTAATATTACCATTTGATTGAAATATGTTAAGAAGTCAAGTACAGTATTTAAGTACATAGAATCCTACAAATCTGACAATATTATAAACCAGCGGGGCCGCATTATTGGAATGTTGGATTACTGGCATAGAAAAAATCATAAATAAATAAATTTTAAAGGAAATTGGCAATACCTATGTATTTGTGTTCATTTTCTACACATTTTTATAACTGTAATATACCTGCCGTATCAATATACAGGCGCCCTCGATATGTCGAAAAAAAAAAATTCAATTTAAAAAAATTTAAAAAACTATTTCACAATTTGTTTCACTGTTAGGTCGTATATAGTCCATTTTTATCATAGTGATAGCACATTATGTATGCAAATCACTAAACTGTTGATACGGGTGACTCAATGAAAAACAGATATTTGTCAAGAACTTTACAGAAGTATATAGGAAAACAATTTTAAATTGAGTATGACCAGCAGGTATAAAGGTTGAAGCAGAATAGAATACAATCGTTTTGAGGGTCACTAATCCCTAAATAAAGTTGCCAGTGTCAGAGTGATGGATATTAACAGGTACTGAATTTACTAGAAATGTAAGATGTTTATTTTATTGGTTATATATAAAATAATTTGTGGCCGTAACAGGGGCCGATTTGTAAAAAAATAAATATTATTTTAATTAAATTCCATTTCAGATTTTCTGCTTTCTTCAGAATCTAAGGAATCTTCAACTCCAATGTTAATTAATACCGGTTCCAGCATTGCATCAGTCATATTATCCAAATTCCTTCTTCTTCTTCTTCTACTTTTTGTAGATCTTTCGATCTGTTTAATTCTGAAGCTGCCTCTGGTTAATTTCTTGGGAGGTAGATTGCCAACTATCCCTCCATCTTTTAGGTGGTCTTCCGGGGGTCTTGAACCAGGCGGATTGTTTTCTAGGGCAATTTTTGGGAGTCTATTCTCATCCATTCGTCTTACATGGTTGTACCACATCCTCTTGCGCTGTCTTCCCCATCTTACAATGTCTTGAATTTTGCACTGCTCTCTAATGTTTGTATTTCTCACACTGTCCCTTCTTGTTTTCCCCATTATTGTTCTTAGGGTTTTCATTTCGACAACCCTTAGCATCTGTTTCGTTTAAAACTACACTTAACCGAGATAAAACCTGTTGTCAACGTCATTTTTAAATGAAAATAACAAAATATCGACACCAAAAACGTAGGCAGGTAAGACATGAACAATGTACATCTACAAACTAAATGGAAGATGCAAACAATTCCTCATTTATATTATTGGCATAAGCTATAATGTAAAATAAAATCTACCTAAACTATCATTATTAAAGCCTTATCAGTAATTCCAGGTAATCGTTCATAGAAGGTATTCTTTTTGTGTCAGGCGATAACTTGTATAGAAAACTATAATCACCTTTAAATAACTGTTTACATTAATTTATTTCGTGAAACATGGAATTCTCTCGTTAATCACCCATGTATAATTAACAATAATCGTGTGGCATATATACCGACCTTTTTTACGCACAAAAAAGGTATAGTGAGATTAGTGGACACTTATTTTACAGTGGATTTTTTAAAAGATAATGAATTGTTGACGGCATCTTAAAATATTAATTTTTTTTATTTATTTCAAAACAAGTATAGGGTGACGCCTATTATGGTTTTTTGACCTGTTGAGGATTGGCATACATAATGTGCTATCAATATGATGGAAATGGACTATAGTCAGTATAATCGTCTAAAGGTTTTACAACTGCAATAAAATTATTAGCCCCTTTTGTAAGGCGCTTATTTTTTAATATACAGACTAATTTTACTGCTGCCCTAATATTCTTCCTCGATTTAGTTGGGACGACTTAATTGGTGATGGCTTGGTTAAAGGTATGAACTTTAATTTTAATTGTGTCGCTTACTGTACAGTTAGTTTTATATATTTAATTTTATATACGTTCATCATCATCATCAATGGCGCTACAGCTCTTCGTGAGTCTTTGCCGCTTTTACTATTGCCTTCCATGTTTGTCGGTCCTGTGCCAGTAATTCCCATTGTCACACTCCCATCTTATCTAGATCTTTTCTGACTTCATCGTTCCACCTTTTTCTAGGCCGCCCTACACCTTCTTCCATCTGGCCTTTCCCAGAACACATTGTTTATAAGGCGATTGTCGTTACTGCGTATCACATGTTCTGCTCATCTGAGTCTAAGTCTAAGGTAATACGTTAGTTTCTAGAATAATTTTTATTGAGGCTTTATAGGGTATTTTTAGAATTTTTGTAGCTCTATCAAAGCCGTCATCGATATTAAGACCATGTCATCGGCAAATTTTAAGTGGTTTAGATCCTCTCTCTTCATATTAATTTCCATCATCCTCTCTTTCTATTCGCTTGAACATATTTTGAGTACAACTGTAAACAATTTCGGAGAGATAATCACTCTGTCTCATTCCACGTTCTATCTGAAACTTTTTGGTGTTTTACTGAAGTTGCTTACTCTTAATCATGGTAATATAGCTGTTTTCTATAGTATCAAATTTATTTTTGTAATCTATGAATATAAGAAAGACAGTTTTGCTGTCATCTGTGCACTTTTCTATTAATGACTTAATAACTTGTAGATAATAACCTTTTCCATATGTGCAGCGGAACCTAGCCTGTTCGCAAATAACCTCAGTTTGTAACTATCTAGTTTATTATAGTTAAGATGTTTTCTTATTATTTTCTTGTAGAAGTGTGACCACTCCTCAACAGTGTTTGGACCTCATAAAGCGTAATTTGTGTGAGTTTTGGTATTTATTCGTAAATCCTAATAAAAGCTAGAATCTACTACATACTAAAGCGTAGAATGAACGCGCTGCAGTAGACTGAAGCCGGAAAAGCGCTTCGAAGTAGCCAAGAGTAACTCAATATGATCGGAAAGGTTATGGCTACTGTATTTTGGGATAACAAAGGCATAATTTTGACTATCTTGAAAAAGGTACCACTTACAATAAGCAATATTCTGGTGCATTATTGGACATATTGAAGTATAAACTTATTGAGAAAAGACCTTATATGCAAAAAAGTGTTGTTTCCCCAAACCTAGACACCAGCTCATAAGAGCGTTATGACATTGGTCAACATTCATGAGTTGGGCTTTAAATTGCTTTCTTGTCCAACTTATTGTCCCAATTTGGCCTTCTCCTATCACCTCCAAATCTAAAGATATTTAAGGCTCGTAAATAATAAATTTAGCTTAACCGAAACAACGAACAATTTAAGAAACAAACGAATATTTGTAGAGCTTTCAGAATCGTAATATTCGGGCGTTATAAAGAAGTTAGAAAATCGCGAGAATCATTGTATTGAGCTAAAAGTAGACCAGATAAAATAAAATAAAACTTTTTTCTCGACAAACAAGTTTTTTATTTCAAGGAAGCTTCTGCTCTACTGCGTTCAAACCATTCCCTCAAGTTTATAAATAAGTGGCTAAATAGAAGTCTAATTTTTCTTCTTCTTCTTTTTTTGTAAACATAATTTTGTCTGGTTTTCAATGTGCCTCCAGTAAGTTGCCTTTCCATCGTTTTCGTGGTCTTCTAACTAATCGCGTTCCTTTGGAGAACCGTGTGTACTGCTCTGTTGTCATTTTGTTTATAACATAAATCTTTTTTTCACCCATGCTTCCATCTGTATGTGTTTTGTTTTTATACCTTCATTTAGCTCTTTTCTTTGTCTTCTGATTATTCTCCATATTTCGTTTTGTGTTCCGTGGATGTCGTTTTCTACCTATTTTTAGAAGTTTTGTCAGTATTTCCCACTTATTTTCTACTAGTAAAAAGGGTTTTGTTTTGTTCTTCACATTGTGTCTTCATTTCATCTCTTAACTGTGAGGTTTTCTTTTTTGTTTTCGTTTTTTTTTCTCTCTTTAAGTGATTTTGTTGTTGCGCTAATTATGTTATTTTTGAGAATTCAGTGAATTAAATATTTAGTCCTTTAACTCTGGTTTTTGTTTGTGTTGTCGTAGCTCTTCTGGGTAAAAAATATTCTACATAACAGTAGGCTAAGGTCGCTACCTACATATGCTAATTTGAGGCATCTTACGTAGATTATTTTTGATGAATGTACATCTCTGTTAGTTGTAACATAATCTATGGTAAATCTTTTCAATAGTTGTTATTGAATAAATATATGTGTTAGTCTTTGTGGCCAAAAATGTGTTGTATATTCTAAGTTTATTATTTGTGCAGACGTTTATCATCAGATCATTTTTTTTTTCATAAAAAAAGTCGAGAAAAATCACTAATCAAAAAAAGAGTCCACATCAACCTTGACTGAGACAAAACAATAATATTTGAACAGAACTGAAGAAAACTTTATTAAAAAATGTATATCCTGCCAAAACTAAAGTAAATAAAGAAAAAGAATAAGTTGTCTAGTTTAGTCGTAACTTAAATTAAGTAGTTGGTATATTTGAATATAGAATTTGGATGAGAAAACATCCAAATTTGGATGAGAATTTTGGAACAACTAGTTCGGATGAGAAAAACCACTATTCAATTAAAAACAAAATATAGTAACAAAATATATAAAGAGAATATAATGGGGTTAAGATAATGTCAAAAATAAATATGCAACTGTAATAGTTTTTAGAGTATATATTTTTTAATTTAATAAATATAACATTTTATACTATCATCAGCTAAGTCAGTTCCCTCTTTACCAGGCGTGGACAGCAGGAGCATGGGCATAAGATAAAACAGGAGTAGCATAAGCAGCTACGACAGGTTTGCTGATAATGTCACTTCTGTAGCTGTGGCTGACAGCAGCAGGAACGGCAACAGGAGCAACATATTTGTGGACTACTGGAGCAGCAACTACAGGAGCGGAGTAGGCTACGACAGCGGGTTCACTGATGACATCTTTCCTGTAGGTGTGGCTGACTGCAGAAGGTACTGCAGCTACAACTGGGGCACTGTATGCATGTACCACTGGACTACCTACCAACACTGCACTGGGTTTAGCTACGGCGAGAGCTACGAGAGCGAACAACACCACCAATTTGAACATTTTGCAGAAATAGGTCTGTGTTGCGAGTCTTGAGACTAACTGACAAAAACTGATGTCGATTGCTTGTTAATCCATAGTATATATACTTAAAAATTACGGATGTAAATGTAGTATATACATGTTACATTCCTTCCTGATTGAATTTTGGCGTAGACCTTCACTCAAGGTAAAAATCTAGTGCAACATTTGGGATATTTCTCGTTGAGGTTAAATGAGTAATCGGTAATTAAGTAAATTTTAAATATAAACATTATTAATTGATTAACAATACAATTATGAAATATAGCTATAATTTAAAAAAGTAACATTTACTTTTAATTGGATTTAAGCAGCATAATAATTGTTTGTTACGATTTATGGTGAAAATTAACCACATATTTGAAGAAATTGTGAACATATAATTAAAATTTTAAACAAATTATTATGTTTACGTCTTTCATAAACAATCGAAATAATTTATAATTAAATTGATGTAGTAATATACCCATGTATTTAAAATGTGTTAAAAAGTCAAGTATAGTAGAGGTCCCATCATTTAGGAAGGCATCTAATTTGCATATTATGAGGCATATCGAAATTGTATAAGAACCGCCTTTGAAGTTGGTGATTGGTTACTGAAATTTTAACTAAACGACAGTGGCGCGCACTATTTAGTAGATACAACTAAAACATATTATACTGAATAAAAGCGTTTTTTTACTTTTCAATAATTTTGAACATGTAGCCAAAATTTGAAAATTGATCAGTAAGATATTTGATAAGACAAAAACAATAATACCTTCGTAATACGTTCTACCTGAACAAACAAACTATTTTTATTGTACAAATGAATTATTAAGTTCTGAATATTGATAAGTTTAACAAAACGGATTTTTAAAATAGCAATTAATTTTCAAGCTAATTTTCCAAAATATTAAATACCAATATAATACCAAAATATTAAAGAGTGAAGATAATTATATGGTAATGAACGGTTCCAATTACATGTATCTAGATCTACCTGATTTAATTTTTTTTTTTCGGAAGCCTTTTAGTGATTTAATAAAGTCATGTAAACATAAATATTCCTGTCTTTGGGAAAAGCCTAATTTCATGGACCTACCCGATTTAAGACGTTTCTTAAAAATATATATTAGCGGTATAATAAATTCTACCCTCAATATTGCTGTCCTTCTAAAATATAGGTGTGCACATCTAAATTTGTTAATGAAAACTTTAATATAAAATTAACTCTATAACTCTTTATATACTCTTTATAAATTCATATAACCAATGTGAATGTTTCAAAGAAGAACAACAAAATCTAATTTAATTTTCTTCTTCTGAAGAACCCTCGATATCCCTATTGTGACTTCCTAAATTTATTATGATGGAATTAATATTTTCTTGATGGTCTATTTGGACTTCAGAAATTGTTGTTCAGAAGGTTGAATATATTTGAAAATCTGCTTTGATGGCTTACAATTCCAATTGTAAGCCATCAAAGCATTGTAGCATTAACTAAAGAATACCAGGAAAGGAGAAAAAACCATCTGAAGCCCTAATTAAAAAGAAAAGACGTCGCTTCTTACAAATCAAAATTGGATATGTTTAAGAAAGATAGTTTGCGATTGTTTGACATTGCTGCATGTAAATGTGACAATTTTAATTCATGTTTGTGTTTAAAGCAGAACAAGGTAGGGAAATAAGTTTATTATTTATTAGATATAATTTGTATTTGAACCAATCGTTACAGGAATGTATAAACAATATTGTTTTAGGCTCCAATAATGGAACGCCCATTTCTCCAAAACCAGAGGCCTGTCGGCAAATGATGATTGGCTCTGTAAATTTGGAAGCTGTTTGACTATAACAAAAACGGGAAATGAGAAGTAAGTGTGACAAAGAAAACAACATAATCGAGACACAAAAGCTAGCACATCCTCTTATAACAGACAAGTAGATAGTTTGGAAGTAGAAATTGAACCGGGATTTAACATATGTATATATATATTATCGACTAAAATGAGGTATCCCAACATGAAAAGAAAAAGGAGCAATCTGCCGTTATTTCTGATGAACAAACTATATTTTAACTGACCAATGATAACACAAGGAATCTCCATGAGTTATCTAAAATGCTTGACAGATACACGGTGTCAGACAGAGCAGGTGCTGCAATAGCTTCGTCAGTGTCACAAGATTACGGAATTGTCAACAAAGAAGACACTCAAAATATTATTGACCGTCACAAAGTGAGACGCGCAAGACAAAAAAAAAAGTACAGATCTTCAAAGATTCTCAAAATCAATAGTTTTGCTTGGTTTGTACTTCGATGGTCGTAATGATAAAACATTGACTTTTGACGATAATAGGAAAAGAACAATAGTAAAAGAACACATTAGTTTAATATAAGAACCTGATTCAAAATATCTGCGCCATGTACCTACTATCTCTGAAACGGCAGCAAATATCATAGACGCATTTAATATTTTTGTCAAATATCTTTGATTTCATTAGAGAGTTTAGAGGCAATTCAATGTGACGGAACAAATACCAATGTAGGAAGTAAGGGCGGAATTATTTCGTTGTTGAAAAAAAAAACAATTGAGCGGCCCTTGCAATGGTTTATTTGCCAATTGCATGCGAAGGAACTTCCTTTGCGACACTTGCTACAGCATATTGATGGTGAGACAAATGGCTAGCCCTCGAGAATTTCGTGGACACATTGGAACGCTTTTACATAATTGCGAAAAGCTTCCTATTATGGAGTTTTCTAGGATAGAATTAGAACTACCTGATATAACATCTGATTTTGAGTTGAGTACGGATCAAAACTATTTACATTAAATATGTTCATCAATAATAAACGGCAGTTGCTCTGAAGCTCTTTCCAAACGTGACCCTGGAAAACTAGTTTATTCCCGTTTTTTTAATAACTGTTAACCGAATTCTTCGCTTGTATATTATAGTGTATTTTTATGTATGAGAGAGTAATAAAACAATAAATTATGTATGCAAATCCCTAAACTGTTGATACTCAATGAAAAACAGATATTTGTCAACAAGTTTACAGAAGTATATAGGAAAACAATTTTAAATTGAGTATGACCACCAGGTATAAAGGTTGGAGCAGAATAGAATACAATAGTTGTGAGGGTTACTAATCCCTAAATAAGGTTGCCAGTGTCGGAGTGATGGAGGTTAACAGATACTAATGAATTTGCAAGAAATGTAAAATGTTTATTTTATTGGTTATATATAACCAATAAAAGTTTAATAAGTACCTACCTATTTGCAAAATAAAGTTTAATTCTTTAGATAAAATAAAACGTTTTATTTTATCTGAAATAAATGCATTCTACGAAGTAAGGGTTTCAACAATCAAAGATTTAATTCTTTAATTCCAGGAATCTACGACAGTGATTGACTAGATAATTACCTTCTAAACTTATTCCACAGAAAATGTTATAGTGGGTTTTTCCATTTTGTAGGAAGGTCCAAGTGGCGTATTCAAAATTCTTAACAGTTCACTAAAAGTCGGTTCTTCAGTTGCAAGGTGCAGTTTATTGTGTATACTCGTGTTATGGAAAATTTGGAAGTGCCGTGTAAACGCCGAAAAATTGGTCCTTTAACAGTTAATGAAAAAACATTAATATTTAATTGTTTTAAATCATTTACAGACAAACGTTTATGTGAAAGTGTTGATGAGACCGTTGAGTTAGTTAGCAGTACACTTGGTGTTGGGAAATCTACGACTTACAGAGTTATTAAAGAAGAGAAATGTGGTAGTTTTCAAATGCCACGTAATGCTCCAGGGAAACCAAAATTTCAAATAGAATATCATTTTAAAGAAGGACTTCGACGGAAAGTGCATAAATTCTTCTTTAGACAAGAATTTCCAACATTGGATAAAGTTCTTGTCTCAGTTCGAGATGATGAGGATTACCCAGAAATAAGCCGAAGTACGTTATGGAAACTTTTAAAAGAAATAGGCTTCCGCTGGAAAAAGAATCCCAGAAAGTCTATTTTATTAGAAAGAAGCGATATTGTCATATGGAGAAGACATTTTCTAAGAACCATAAAGGTAATGAGAAACCAAAAAAGAAAAATATTTTATCTTGATGAAACATGGATCAACGAGGGTCATACACCAAATAAATTTTTACAGGATGAAACTGTTACAAGTCAAAGGCACGCTTTTGTAAATAACTTATCTACTGGTTTAAACCCACCATCAGGAAAGGGACGTAGGCTGATAATAGTACACATTGGCAGTTCAGACGGTTTTGTTGAAGGTGGTTTATTAACTTTTGAATCAACTCGTACCGGTGACTACCATGAAGACATGAACGCTGATGTCTTTTAAGAATGGTTCGAACAAATGATAGATCTTCTTCCTAAGAACTGTGTAATAGTAATGGATAATGCAAGTTATCACTCCAGACTTATAGAAGGACTGCCCACAACCAAGTGGTTAAAAAAAGACTTGCAGAATTGGCTAAGTTCAAAAAATATTACGTACCATCCCGGATCTATAAGAAAGGAACTTTATTCGTTGTGTGCCCTTCATAAAGAAAAATTTAAAAAAATACGAAATTGATGAAATTGACAAAAATCGTGGAATGACAGTACTTAGATCCCCACCATATCATTGTGAATTAAACCCGATTGAACTGGTATGGGCAAAGATAAAGAGTGAAGTTTCAAGAAAAAATACCACTTTTAAAATTCATGATGTTAAACAGTTGTTTTTGGAGGCCGTAATTAATGTAAAACTTGAAAACTGGGAAAAGGCAGTAAATCACACTATTAAAGAAGAGGAAAAAATGTGGAAGCTGGACAATATTACTGATAAAATGATCGAGCCAGTTATTATAAATCTTGGTTCTGAAAGTTCATCTTCTGAATCTGATTTGGATTTGTAACAAGTAGCTGTAAGTTTTATATTAATATTTTTATTCATCTATTTAACATACTTTAGACGGTTTTAAAAACTCTTTTTCTCTTTTGTAATTTTT